AGTAGCATTAGTATTTCTATCCAATCTGGGAACATTTGGATACCATGTTTACCACTGCAGCTATTTCGTAATATAATTCATTAATGAAAAATGAAAATAAGATCGGACTCAAAATACAGCCTTGACTTAGGCCCAAAGGACAATCAAAGAAATCTGTTAAACTATCCCCACAACGAACACATGATCTCACATTAGAATACATTGATTTTAGAATAGTAAACATTTTCCCACGTAAACCAGCTTTTCGTAGACATGTCCATAGCTTAAAGCGATTGACAGAATCAAAAGCCTTTTTAAAATCTACAAATGCTACATACAGTTTATGCTTACGCCGTGACAAGGTTTTTTGAATAAGTGCATAAAGTGTAAATACATGATCTACGGTGGAATAACTTTTTCTGAAGCCAGCTTGAAATTCAGGAATCTTAACACGCATGGTCGCCCATTTCGAATTCTATTGTTTAATATTGTAGTAAATACTTTTCCTAAAATGCTCATTAATGAAATACCTCTATAGTTATCTGGGTCACTCCTGTCTCCTTTTTTATGCAGGGGGATTATTATAGAACATGACCACTTGCTTGGGAAAACTCCATTTTCAAATAGCTTATTAAAACATTTGCAAAGAAAAGGCATAACTTCAAACTGAGAACACTTCAACATTTCGATAACTACATCATCAGGACCAGCTGCTTTTCCCTTCTTGAGGTGATTTATCGCATCTAATATTTCGTTTTCAACAATGGGTGAATCTAGCAGAACTTCATCAACATCCGTGTAGCATTCACTAAAATAATTTTGCATATCATCAGTTGCCATAGTGAATATTGCATCATTTGAAAAAACCTTCTTAAAATGACTAAGCCACTGCGACTTTGTTATGTCATCTGTAGCAGAAGCTCTATTCTTAAGAGATCGTACTTGTTTCCAGAACGCAGAAGGGTCGTTAATAGACCTTTTTCAGTTTGTCTTGTCTATGTCTACGCATATCGAATTTGTATTTCCGAAAGCAACCTTTATATTTATTCCTACTTTCGCAATATTTTTTTCTGTCAAGACTAGTACGGGTTGTTCTAAATCTTCGCAGCGCTTTGCGGGCGTTATGCCTTGCAATTCTACATCCAGTATTAAAAGTTTTAGTTTTATCCATGTTCAGTTTTAATTCTTTTCTCATACAAGCTGCTGAAGTTAGCATAATTTCAACAAAGTCATCAAATGCCCCCTCAATATTGTTATCAAGTTTATCTAGAAGTAACTGTTTAAAATATGTTATACTTTCTTGTAGTTTGCTTAGAAAGTTGTTCGAAAGTTCGTCATTCCATATTAGTTTCTTCTTAGTGACACCCTCATATTTTAATTTGGTATGTATTTGATTCATATGAGGGAACTTACAGGTCAATTCCAAAGGTAAATGATCAGATTCTAGACGATCGCCAATATTCAACATCTTAATATAATCGAAAAAATCGGGGGAACATATAAAATAATCATTAACGCTCGCACCTTGGTTTCCACAATAGGTAAATTCTCCAAGGGTATCCCCATACACTCTCCCTTTGACAATGAACAACTGAAATGTATACAACATATCTAGCAGTATCTGACCAAATTTATTGATGACGGTGTTATGGGATTTCCGATCTCCAACACATACGTTTTCATCTTCTGGGAATGAACAGTTACTATGAACAAAATCGTTTTGTATATCGACTAGAGGATTGTTTTGTTGACCAGTACGAGCATTCATATCTCCACAGACTACACTGATAGAATCTTTAAGCTTCGACTGATTATCTAACATAAACTCTTCAAGATGATCAATACTACAATTTGAGACCACATGGTTATAATACGGCGAACCAGCTGGTGGTATGTATGTACATAGCAAGTTTACGTTCTTGTCAATTGTAAGTAACACTTTTGATATGTTCAAGCACAGGAGATTATCTACATCTGATTTAAATACTTACAGAATTTACTGACGGATTGATGGACACATACCACCTGACAGCCTTCCGTAGTCAGATAATTTTATTGCTGGACTATAATAGATATCATAACCAACTAACCAGTTATTATCAAAACTACAGTCGACAAAAGTTTCCACAAGACATGCTATTTTAAATTGTTGTAAGTACATACGCAATCGGCAGTGATTGTTGGTCATAACTGGGCGTCTGGCTGGTCTCCTCGCAACAATCCCGTTACGTCTAAGACGGCGACATACAGTCTGTCCCGATAATCGACAAAGGCCAGGGATGGCTCTCGCAGTGATTGGTGCAGGCTGGAACCAATTTGACAAATGGGTGGTTCGAATCCAACGATCTTGACGGATTCTCGTAACGGATGGTCTGTCGCTCCTTGGCCGGTCTCTGGCAGTGTTAGGTTGCTACCACCGCTGCCATAACGTCCTAAAGGTGTTTTCTCTGCACGTTCAATTGCCCAGCAACTTCACGCTGCGACGTTCCTGACTGGGGAATACCAATGGCTCTCAAGTAGTCAATTTAAGACAGGCGTGGCATCTCCAAACCTCAAATAATGATTGAAATTTGATGTTTTTCCGTGTTGCAATTGTCAAGACAAGCAGAAACAATGCAAACGGTACCCCTAACACATGCGTGCTCTTATACCCTGGTTTACATCATGAATGTCATGCTTGCTGCATGGAAGACGCTTATTGCCATCAGGTCATGCTTGCTGCATGAAAGACGCTTATTGCCATCAGGTCATGCTTGCTGCGTGAAAGACGCTTATTGCCATCAGGTCATGCTTGCTGCATGAAAGACGCTTATTGCCATCAGGTCATGCTTGCTGCATGGAAGACACTTATTGCCATCAGGTCATGCTTGCTGCGTGAAAGACGCTTATTGCCATCAGGTCATGCTTGCTGCATGAAAGACGCTTATTGCCATCAGGTCATGCTTGCTGCATGAAAGACGCTTATTGCCATCAGGTCATGCTTGCTGCATGAAAGACACTTATTGCCATCAGGTCATGCTTGCTGCATGGAAGACACTTATTGCCGTCAGGTCATGCTTGCTGCATGGAAGACACTTATTGCCGTCAGGTCATGCTTGCTGCATGAAAGACGCTTATTGCCATCAGGTCATGCTTGCTGCATGGAAGACACTTATTGCCATCAGGTCATGCTTGCTGCATGAAAGACGCTTATTGCCATCAGGTCATGCTTGCTGCATGGAAGACACTTATTGCCATCAGGTCATGCTTGCTGCATGAAAGACGCTTATTGCCATCAGGTCATGCTTGCTGCATGGAAGACACTTATTGCCATCAGGTCATGCTTGCTGCATGAAAGACGCTTATTGCCATCAGGTCATGCTTGCTGCATGAAAGACGCTTATTGCCATCAGGTCATGCTTGCTGCATGAAAGACGCTTATTGCCATCAGGTCATGCTTGCTGCATGAAAGACACTTACTGCCATCAGGTCATGCTTGCTGCATGAAAGACACTTACTGCCATCAGGTCATGCTTGCTGCATGGAAGACACTTATTGCCATCAGGTCATGCTTGCTGCGTGAAAGAGACTTATTGCCATCAGGTCATGCTTGCTGCATGAAAGACACTTACTGCCACCAGGTCATGCTTGCTGCATGGAAGACACTTACTGCCATCAGGTCATGCTTGCTGTATGGAAGACACTTATTGCCATCAGGTCATGCTTGCTGCATGGAAGACGCTTATTGCCATCAGGTCATGCTTGCTGCATGGAAGACACTTACTGCCATCAGGTCATGCTTGCTGCGTGAAAGACACTTACTGCCATCAGGTCATGCTTGCTGCATGAAAGACACTTACTGCCATCAGGTCATGCTTGCTGCATGAAAGACACTTACTGCCATCAGGTCATGCTTGCTGCATGGAAGACACTTATTGCCATCAGGTCATGCTTGCTGCATGAAAGACACTTATTGCCATCAGGTCATGCTTGCTGCATGAAAGACGCTTATTGCCATCAGGTCATGCTTGCTGCATGAAAGACGCTTATTGCCATCAGGTCATGCTTGCTGCATGGAAGACACTTACTGCCATCAGGTCATGCTTGCTGCATGAAAGACACTCACTGCCATCAGGTCATGCTTGCTGCATGGAAGACACTTATTGCCATCAGGTCATGCTTGCTGCGTGAAAGAGACTTACTGCCATCAGGTCATGCTTGCTGCATGAAAGACACTTATTGCCATCAGGCCATGCTTGCTGCATGGAAGACACTTATTGCCATCAGGTCATGCTTGCTGCATGGAAGACACTTATTGCCATCAGGCCATGCTTGCTGCATGGAAGACACTTACTGCCATCAGGTCATGCTTGCTGCATGGAATACACTTACTGCCATCAGGTCATGCTTGCTGCGTGAAAGACACTTATTGCCATCAGGTCATGCTTGCTGCATGGAATACACTTATTGCCATCAGGTCATGCTTGCTGCATGGAAGACGCTTATTGCCATCAGGTCATGCTCGCTGCATGGAAGACACTTATTGCCATCAAGTCACTACAGTGTTTGTTTATAATACAGGATATTGACCCCCCCCCCCCCCCCCCCCCCCCCCCCCCCCCCCCCCCCTTCACGATATAACATCAGTGAGTGAGTATGGTTTTAGCAATATTCCAGCAATATCACCGCGGGGGACGCCAGAAATGGGCTTCACACATTGTACCCCCGTGGGGAATCGAAGCCAGGCCTTCAGCGTGACGATCGAACGCTTGAACCACTGGGCTACCCAACCGCCCCCGATAAAACATCAAGGTTTTTATCATTTTATATGTGTGACACTTCAATTTTGTTGACTATAGTATTTTTCAGTTGTATAACATTGTCACGTGGGTCCACAGTGATTGTGATCTGTTAAAGCTGCCGATTCTTGTACGTCCATAGAAAACAGAAGCTAAGTGTCCGTGTGGCAATATACATTATGCCATTCATATACGAAGTTAAATAAAACTACATCAAATGTTACATCAATATCAAATACGCACTTCTACCTGGAGTACAGTCCTGCTCGTCCGACCCATCAACACAGTCCACGTCCATGTCGCAGCGCCACCTTTCGGGAATACAGGCTCCGGAATAACAACGGAAGGAGTTTTTCTTGCAACCTTCAACGCAAAGGTAAAATACAGATAATGTGGTAAAGGTGTTCGTGGTGAATTACTGATGTGGAGTAAAGGTGTCATGTTAAAATACAGAGAATGTGTTAAAGGTGTTATGGTAAAATACAGATATGAGGGAAAGGTGTTCATGGTAAACTACAGATATTGTGGTAAAGGTGTACATGGTAAAATAAAGGTGTTATTGGTAAAATACAAATGTCTGGTAAAGGTGTTCGTGGTAAAATACAGATATTGTAGGAAAGGTGTTCGTGGTAAAATAGAGATATTGTGGTAAATGTGTTCGTGGTAAAATACAGATATTGTGGGAAAGGTGTTTGTGGTAAAATAAAGATATTGTGGGAAAGGTGTTTGTGGTAAAATAGAGATATTGTGGTAAATGTGTTCGTGGTAAAATACAGATATTGTGGGAAAGGTGTTTGTGGTAAAATACAGATATTGTGGGAAAGGTGTTTGTGGTAAAATACAGATATTGTGGTAAAGGTGTTTGTGGTAAAATAGAGATATTGTGGTAAAGGTGTTCGTGGTAAAATACAGATATTGTGGGAAAGGTGTTTGTGGTAAAATACAGATATTGTGGTAAAGGTGTTCGTGGTAAAATAGAGATATTGTGGTAAAGGTGTTCGTGGTAAAATACAGATATTGTAGGAAAGGTGTTCGTGGTAAAATACAGATATTGTGGTAAAGGTGTTCGTGGTAAAATAGAGATATTGTGGTAAAGGTGTTCGTGGTAAAATACAAATGTCTGGTAAAGGTGTTCGTGGTAAAATACAGATATTGTGGGAAAGGTGTTCGTGGTAAAATACAGATATTGTAGGAAAGGTGTTCGTGGTAAAATACAGATATTGTGGGAAAGGTGTTTGTGGTAAAATAGAGATATTGTGGTAAAGGTGTTCGTGGTAAAATAGAGATATTGTGGTAAAGGTGTTCGTGGTAAAATAGAGATATTGTGGGAAAGGCGTTCGGGGTAAAATCATATAAGAGGTAAAGTTGTTCATGGTAAAATATAAACGTGGTAAATGTGTTAATTGTAAAATACAGATAATTTGGCAAATGTGTTAAGGGCAAAATACAGATAATGTGGGAAAGCTGGTCCTGGTAAAATACAAATATTGTGGTAAAGGTGTTCTTGGTAAAATATACATAATACGGTAAAGGTGTTACTGGTAAACTACAGATGTGGGGTAAAGGTGTTCTTGATAAAATATACATAATACGGTAAAGGTGTTACTGGTAAACTACAGATGTGGGGTAAAGGTGTTCTTGGTAAAATATACATAATACGGTAAAGGTGTTACTGGTAAACTACAGATGTGGGGTAAAGGTGTTCCTGGTAAAATGTCGATAATGTGATAGAGGTGTTCCTGGTAAAATGTCGATAATGTGATAGAGGTGTTCCTGGTAAAATGTCGATAATGTGATAGAGGTGTTCCTGGTAAAATGTCGATAATGTGATAGAGGTGTTCCTGGTAAAATGTCGATAATGTGATAGAGGTGTTCCTGGTAAAATGTCGATAATGTGATAGAGGTGTTCTTGGTAAAATACAAATATTGTGGTAAAGGTGTTCTTGATAAAATATACATAATACGGTAAAGGTGTTACTGGTAAGCTACAGATGTGGGGTAAAGGTGTTCCTGGTAAAATGTCGATAATGTGATAGAGGTGTTCCTGGTAAAATGTCGATAATGTGATAGAGGTGTTCCTGGTAAAATACAAATGTGGGGTAAAGGTGTTCTTGGATAAATACAGATAATGTGGTAAAGGTGTTCATGCTAAAATACAGATGTGTAGTAAAGGTGTTAAAGGTAAAATGCCGATGTGGTAGAGGTGTTCCTGGTAAATACAGATGTGGTAGAGGTGTTTCTGGTAAAATACCGGATAATGGATTGAAGGTGATCATGGTAAAATACAGACTTGGGGTAAAGGATTTTTGTGGTACAATACAGATGTGGTAGAGTTGTTCATGGTACAATACAGATGTGGTAGAGTTGTTCATGGTACAATACAGATGTGGTAGAGTTGTTTATGGTACAATACAGATGTGGTAGAGTTGTTCATGGTACAATACAGATGTGGTAGAGTTGTTCATGTTACAATACAGATGTGGTAGAGTTGTTCATGGTACAATACAGATGTGGTAGAGTTGTTCATGGTACAATACAGATGTGGTAGAGTTGTTCATGGTACAATACAGATGTGGTAGAGTTGTTCATGGTACAATACAGATGTGGTAGAGTTGTTCATGGTACAATACAGATGTGGTAGAGTTGTTCATGGTACAATACAGATGTGGTAGAGTTGTTCATGGTACAATACAGATGTGGTAGAGTTGTTCATGGTACAATACAGATGTGGTAGAGTTGTTCATGGTAAAATACATAAAATGCGGTAAATGTGTTCTTCTTAAAATACAGATGTGGGGTAAATGTTTTCCTGGTAAAATACAGATGTGGTAAAGGTGTTGTTGGTGAAATACAGATGTGGTAAAGGTGGTTAAATAGAGCTAACGTGGTAAAGGTGTTCATGGTAAAATACATATAATGCGGTAAAGGTGTTCATCGTAGAATACAGATGTGGGGTAAAGGTGTTGTTGGTAAAAACAGATAATGTGGTAAAGGTGGTCAAGGTAATATACAGATGTGGTAAATGTTTTCTTGGTAAAATACATAACATGTGATAAAGATGTTCATGGTAAAATACAGATAATGTGGTAAAGGTGTTCATGGTAAAATACAGATAATGTGGTAAAGGTGTTATATAAATACATACATCTGTAAAATACAGATGTATAGTTGGGGTTAATGGTAAAAACAGATGTGGGGTAGGGGGTAACGATATAGGTAAAATGAAGGTGTTGGGTAACGATGTCATGGTAATATTCAGATGCGGGGTAAAGGTGTTCATGATAATATTCAGATGTGGGGTAACGATGTCATGGTAATATTCAAATGTGGGGTAACGATGTCATGGTAATATTCTGATGTGGGGTAACGATGTCATGGTAATATTCAGATGTGGGGAAAAGGTGTTCATGGTAATATTCAGATGTGGGGTAACGATGTCATGGTAATATTCTGATGTGGGGTAACGATGTCATGGTAATATTCAGATGTGGGGTAAAGGTGTTCATGGTAATATTCTGATGTGGGGTAACGATGTCATGGTAATATTCAGATGTGGGGTAAAGGTGTTCATGGTAATATTCAGATGTGGGGTAACGATGTCATGGTAATATTCAGATGTGGGGTAACGATGCCATGGTAATATTCTGATGTGGGGTAACGATGTCATGGTAATATTCAGATGTGGGGTAACGATGTCATGGTAATATTCAGATGTGGGGTAACGATGTCATGGTAATATTCTGATGTGGGGTAAGGATGTCATGGTAATATTCTGATGTGGGGTAACGATGTCATGGTAATATTGAGGTGTGAGGTAAATGTGTTCATGGTAATATTCAGATGTGGGGTAACGATGTCATGGTAATATTCAGATGTGGGGTAACGATGTCATGGTAATATTCAGATGTGGGGTAACGATGTCATGGTAATATTCAGATGTGGGGAAACGATGTCATGGTAATATTCAGATGTGGGGAAACGATGTCATGGTAATATTCTGATGTGGGGTAACGATGTCATGGTAATATTCAGATGTGGGGTAACAATGTCATGGTAATATTCAGATGTGGGGTAACGATGTCATGGTAATATTCTGATGTGGGGTAACGATGTCATGGTAATATTCTGATGTGGGGTAACGATGTCATGGTAATATTCAAATGTGGGGTAACGATGTCATGGTAATATTCAGATGTGGGGTAACGATGTCATGGTAATATTCAGATGTGGGGTAAAGGTGTTCATGGTAATATTCAGATGTGGGGTAACGATGTCATGGTAATATTCTGATGTGGGGTAACGATGTCATGGTAATATTCTGATGTGGGGTAACGATGTCATGGTAATATTCAGATGTGGGGTAAAGGTGTTCATGGTAATATTCTGATGTGGGGTAACGATGTCATGGTAATATTAAGATGTGGGGTAACGATGTCATGGTAATATTCTGATGTGGAGTAAAGGTGTTCATGGTAATATTCAGATGTGGGGTAACGATGTCATGGTAATATTCTGATGTGGGGTAACGATGTCATGGTAATATTCAGATGTGGGGTAACGATGTCATGGTAATATTCAGATGTGGGGTAACGATGTCATGGTTATATTCAGATGTGGGGTAACGATGTCATGGTAATATTCTGATGTAGGGTAACGATGTCATGGTAATATTCTGATGTGGGGTAACGATGTCATGGTAATAATCTGATGTGGGGTAACGATGTCATGGTAATATTCTGATGTGGGGTAACGATGTCATGGTAATATTCAAATGTGGGGTAAAGGTGTTCATGGTTAATTATTGATTAACATTTCGTTATTTCTACTTTTATGGGTTCGTTACGCCACTCTGAAGAGAATCTCGGTTATATCACGGCGTGTCATGTTCATGTGGGAGCAAAGTCCGAAGTGATTTACCAGACATTTACCAACTTGGCTAAACCCTATAGCTCTGGTAAGGTGCTAACAAACATAAACATGGTAATTCGGGATTCGAACCCACGACCATAGGTCACTATCTGAGTCACCACAACGAATGGTAGTGGCTCAGATGACTGGTCCACGCGTGGCCTTGACCTTCAGCTGGTCCTACTCACCAGGCGCTTGGGTTGTCGGAGGCTGGGATGTAGTAGACTGTCCTTGTCCTGCAAACACAGAGCCCATGTCAGGGGATGCCCACGTATATGTCTCTTATTGTTTTTGGTTTGAGAAAGTTACATGGGAATGATTTGGGTTGGAAAGACATACAAAATCGTTTAAGAGAAACCTTATCTTTATCACCGACGTGGGTAATAATATGTGTATATGCGAAATACATACATAATTATGAAAATATGTTTTTACATTTTTCCCCCCTAACTGTAAATTATTCCACTAAACAAAATTTTGTTGCTCGACCACAGCGACCGAAGAGAGCGAACTCGACGAAATGAGTAATTGTTAGATAGATATAAACACAGGTGTAAGAGAAACCCTATTCATGTTTCACACATTATATATATGTGTACGTACGAAATGCAGAAATCTTTATAAAAATATTTCATAAAACATTCCTACCTTTAACTTATTACACTAAACATATTCGTGTCAGTCGGGCTCAGTGATCGAAGGGAGGCAAAACTCTGTCACAGGGACAGCAGGGAAAAGTTGACCCAGTTTCCGTGTAGCGAGGTATGAGCACGTATGTACAGCTGGAATAATTGACGTGTCAGGCCACAGGAGTAAACATACATACACTCCACACTTGGGAGGTAATTCTCAAAGAGAAGTGTGATTCAAGGTTATATAAATACCACGCACTCACAACGTCGTGGGTTTCAATTTTGACAATAACTGCATGTCTCCACTGATCTAGTTCATTGTGAAATAATATTACAACAATCTAACTAAAATTTTGAAAATAATAATTATTAAAAAATATGAATAACTTTACCACTGTAGATATACAAAACATGTTTTATGCCTTTCCGTCCAGCAATTCTGTCACTGCCTGAATTGTTCGTTCAGTTCTAGACAATGCAGCATATGTTGCTGACGTAGTGTGCCAACAAGAGTTTTATACCATTCCATTCAGTTAAAATGTAAAACAATTATTGTGTATACCACTATGATTGTGTCAACTTCATACCTCTTGTCCCTTGAAAACAATAGCAAATGTTTCCGAGGTCATTGTTGTGAAAATATGTTACGACACTGACGGCCAAAAGAAACTTAACTTTACCTAAAAAATTAAGTTGAAAAAACAACACCCCACCGCGCTATGCAGAGAAAGGGGCTGCCCTCTGTTATAATTTGCTGATTCTTCTTTTATTACCTTAGCATTATGGTAACCTGTATTATTACATGGTCATTTTAAATTAAGTTAAAGTAATGATTTATTCTTAAATAAGCAACTGTGCTCTGGGAAGTACCGGGTCTGGGAAGTACCGGGTCTGGGAAGTAACGGGTCTGGGAAGTAACGGGTCTGGGAATCCGCCGTGAAGAGTGTGTGACCTTACAGATATATATGGCGGGAAATATTTTAACCGTGATGTGTGTGACGTCAGGGTATTGAACAAACAACCTAGTTGTACCATTGCCCCAACCCGTCACACCCTAGGTGCCTTATACAGCATGTCAGACAACCCACAGGAAACACTCCATGGTAGACATCTAACTGATATCAAGCTGGCCGTGCACTCACCACAGTCTAGTTCATCTGTGCCATCCCTACAGTCAATTTCGCCGTCACAGCGCCACCTGCTGGGCAAACACTGAGTGTCCGAACACTGGAACATGTCCTGCTTACAGGTGGCTGGAACTCACACATGTACACACATTACTGAACACACATGTACACACATTACTGAACACACATTACTGAAAACACATGTACACACATTACTGAACACACATGTACACACATTACTGAAAACACATGTACACACATTACTGAACACACATGTACACACATTACTGAACACACATGCACACACATTACTGAACACACATGTACACACATTACTGAACACACATGTACACACATTACTGAACACACATGTACACACATTTCTGAACATACATGTACACACATTACTGAACACACATGTACACACATTACTGAACACACATTACTGAAAACACATGTACACACATTACTGAAAACACATGTACACACATTACTGAACACACATTACTGAACACACATGTACACACATTACTGAAAACACATGTACATACATTACTGAAAACACATGTACACACATTACTGAACACACATGTACACACATTACTGAAAACACATGTACACACATTACTGAACACACATTACTGAACACACATGTACACACATTACTGAACACACATGTACACACATTACTGAAAACACATGTACACACATTACTGAAAACACATGTACACACATTACTCAACACACATTACTGAACACACATTCCTGAACACACATGAACACACATTACTGAACACACATGAACACACATTACTGAACACACATGAACACACATTACTGAACACACATTCCTGAACACACATTACTGAACACACATGAACACACATTACTGAACACACATGAACGCACATTACTGAACACACATTCCTGAACACACATGAACACACATTACTGAACACACATGCACACACATTACTGAACACACATGAACACACATTACTGAACACACATGTACACACATTACTGAACACACATGTACACACATTACTGAACACACATGTACACACATTACTGAACACACATGTACACACATTACTGAAAACACATGTACACACATTACTGAACACACATTACTGAAAACACATGTACACACATTACTGAAAACACATGTACACACATTACTGAACACACATGTACACACATTACTGAACACACATTACTGAACACACATGTACACACATGTACATACACTACTGAAAACACATGTACATACATTACTGAACACACATTACTGAACACACATGTACACACATTACTGAAAACACATGTACATATATTACTGAACACACATTACTGAACACACATGTACACACATTACTGATCACACATGTACACACATTACTGAACACACATGAACACACATTACTGAACACACATGTACACACATTACTGAACACACATTACTGAACACACATGTACATACATTACTGAACACACATTACTGAACACACATTACTGAACACACATTACTGAACACACATTACTCAACACACATTACTGAACACACATGTACACACATTACTGAAAACACATGTACACACATTACTGAACACACATGTACACACATTACTGAACACACATGTACATACATTACTGAACACACATTACTGAACACACATTACTGAACACACATTACTGAACACACATTACTGAACACACATTACTGAACACACATGTTCACACATTACTGAACACACATGTACACACATTACTGAACACACATGTACACACATTACTGAACACACATTACTGAACACACATGTACACACATTACTGAACACACATGTACACACATTACTGAAAACACATGTACACACATTACTGAACACACATTACTGAAAACACATGTACACACATTACTGAAAACACATGTACACACATTACTGAACACACATGTACACACATTACTGAACACACATTACTGAAAACACATGTACACACATTACTGAACACACATGTACACACATTACTGAACACACATGTACACACATTACTGAACACACATTACTGAACACACATTACTGAAAACACATGTACACACATTACTGAACACACATTACTGAACACACATGTACACACATATACATACACTACTGAAAACACATGTACATACATTACTGAACACACATTACTGAACACACATTACTGAAAACACATGTACACACATTACTGAACACACATTACTGAACACACATGTACACACATGTACATACACTACTGAAAACACATGTACATACATTACTGAACACACATTACTGAACACACATGTACACACATTACTGAACACACATGTACACACATTACTGAATGCACATGTACACACATTACTGAACACACATGTACACACATTACTGAACACACATGTACACACATTACTGAACACACATTACTGAACACACATGTACATACATTACTGAACACACATTACTGAACACACATTACTGAACACACATTACTGAACACACATTACTGAACACACATGTACACACATTACTGAAAACACATGTACACACATTACTGAACACACATGTACATACATTACTGAACACACATTACTGAACACACATTACTGAACACACATTACTGAACACACATGTACACACATTACTGAACACACATGTACACACATTACTGAACACACATTACTGAACACACATGTACATACATTACTGAACACACATTACTGAACACACATTACTGAACACACATTACTGAACACACATTACTGAACACACATGTACACACATTACTGAAAACACATGTACACACATTACTGAACACACATGTACACACATTACTGAACACACATGTACATACATTACTGAACACACATTACTGAACACACATTACTGAACACACATTACTGAACACACATGTACACACATTACTGAACACACATGTACACACATTACTGAACACACATGTACACACATTACTGAAAACACATTACTGAACACACATGTACACACATTACTGAACACACATGTACACACATTACTGAAAACACATGTACACACATTACTGAACACACATTACTGAAAACACATGTACACACATTACTGAAAACACATGTACACACATTACTGAAAACACATGTACACACATTACTGAACACACATTACTGAAAACACATGTACACACATTACTGAACACACATGTACAAACATTACTGAACACACATGTACATACATTACTGAACACACATTACTGAACACACATTACTGAAAACACATGTACACACATTACTGAACACAAATTACTGAACACACATGTACACACATTACTTAACACACATGTACACACATTACTGAACACACATGTACATACATTACTGAACACACATTACTGAACACACATTACTGAACACACATGTACACACATTACTGAACACACATGTACACACATTACTGAACACACATTACTGAACACACATGTACACACATTACTGAACACACATGTACACACATTACTGAAAACACATGTACACACATTACTGAAAACACATGTACACACATTACTGAACACACATTACTGAACACACATTCCTGAACACACATGAACACACATTACTGAACACACATGAACACACATTACTGAACACACATGAACACACATTACTGAACACACATGAACACACATTACTGAACACACATTACTCAACACACATTACTGAACACACATTACTGAACACACATGTACACACATTACTGAAAACACATGTACACACATTACTGAACACACATGTACACACATTACTGAACACACATGTACATACATTACTGAACACACATTACTGAACACACATTACTGAACACACATTACTGAACACACATGTACACACATTACTGAACACACATGTACACACATTACTGAACACACATGTACACACATTATTGAACACACATGTACATACATTACTGAACACACATTACTGAACACACATTACTGAAAACACATGTACACACATTACTGAACACACATTACTGAACACACATGTACACACATGTACATACACTACTGAAAACACATGTACATACATTACTGAACACACATTACTGAACACACATGTACACACATTACTGAAAACACATGTACATACATTACTGAACACACATTACTGAACAAACATGTACACACATTACTGAACACACATGTACACACATTACTGAACACACATGTACACACATTACTGAACACACATTACTGAACACACATGTACATACATTACTGAACACACATTACTGAACACACATTACTGAACACACATTACTGAACACACATTACTGAACACACATTAATGTACACACATTACTGAAAACACATGTACACACATTACTGAACACACATGTACATACATTACTGAACACACATTACTGAACACACATTACTGAACACACATTACTGAACACACATGTACACACATTACTGAACACACATGTACACACATTACTGAACACACATTACTGAACACACATGTACACACATTACTGAACACACATGTACACACATTACTGAAAACACATGTACACACATTACTGAAAACACATGTACACACATTACTGAACACACATTACTGAACACACATTCCTGAACACACATGAAGACACATTACTGAACACACATGAACACACATTACTGAACACACATGAACACACATTACTGAACACACATGAACACACATTACTGAAAACACATTCCTGAACACACATTACTGTACACACATGAACACACAATACTGAACACACATGAACGCACATTACTGAACACACATTCCTGAACACACATGAACACACATTACTGAACACACATGCACACACATTACTGAACACACATGAACACACATTACTGAACACACATGTACACACATTACTGAAAACACATGTACACACATTACTGAACACACATGTACACACATTACTGAAAACACATGTACACACATTACTGAAAACACATGTACACACATTACTGAACACACATTACTGAAAACACATGTACACACATTACTGAAAACACATGTACACACATTACTGAACACACATGTACATACATTACTGAACACACATTAC